CCGTGCTGGTTCTATCAACTCATCTACTGTAGTAGAACCCTGACTGTCCCTTTAAGACAAAAGCTCAGTCATGTAGTGATTGAACAGGTCAGTCAGTACGCTACCTTAAGGCCAGAGAGAAGTTAGTAGAATTGCACTGCAATGAGATCTCCCATCTTTTATCAACGATAAAGAATAAACATACAGTATAACCGATATTATTATTAACTTAATGTAAGAGAATGGTTGGATGACTGCAGGAGCACCTAAGTATTTGAACACACACACACACACACACACACACACACACACACACACACTGTCCCTCGTCCTGCAGCCGGCAGTGTGTGTCCACCGTGTGCAAAGAAACACCTGACACACGGGGTTTCCCAGTCAACACTGCACGGGCTCTGTCCAGCAGGGAGGACATCCGGACAGACGGTTTCCTTCTCGGCGGACAGAGACTCTCCTCACAGTTTGTGTCACGGCGACGCCCCCCCGTCGTCTCCCTTTACGAGCTCTCCAGAGCGTCGAGGACCTTCATGATCTGCTGCTTGATCACCTTGGTGGCGTCGCCAGCGTTGGGTATCAAATATCTGAGGGACACAGTAGTGAAGTTAACAAATAACTACCAACAGAACATATACGCACTTTATCTGCAAGAATAATCTCTAAATGTTCAAAGCCAATTCATGCAATTCTTGTTTTTAAGAGAACTTTAGTGTGTTAAAGGAATGTTACAGAGAGTTAGATGAGAAAGGTGATGCCACTCTTGTGTTTGTAAGGTTAATGTGAAGCTACTGCTAACAAACGATTAGCTTAGCTTAGCTTAGCATAAAGACTGGAATGAATAGTTACAGCATGCAGCTCCCCGTTAAACCAAAGTTTTTACATATTTTTAAACTCTGGAGAGAAGCAGACGTCTCCCCCCTTCTGCCAGTTTTAATGCTAAGCTAATTGCCTACTATTGGCTCTAGTTAAATATTTAGCATAACATCTTGAGGGTGGAATTGATTGTCTCATCTAGCACCTTTTCCAAAAATGTTAAATTATACTATCAAGGCTGCTAATTTGCATCTTCTTTCGCTGAAGAAAACTTCGTGGCGTCTGAAGAGAAAGTTAGCCATTTTTAAATCACAGCTTTAAAACTTCATATCTGCATTTGTGGATGAGCACCTCTCAACTGCCGAGATCTCCACTCCGGCCGAGTTGTTGGTGCCGAACTTGAAGGTGATCAGTTCTGGGTGCTTCTTTTTGGACGTGATCTTCACCACGGAGTTCAGCGCTTGTCTGGACTGGATGTAGGTGAAGCCTTTCCTGGAGGCGATCTCCCTCAGGCAGTACATGTGAGTGGCTGTGATCAACAGGTGGCTGGAAGAACAACAGTTTGAGTTAAGAATCGTGGACTCCTGAGTTACTGCGACTCCTCTCATTCTTTCATTTTTAAAGAAGTGGGAATTAGTCACGGTTAAATGAAACTTCCCCTCTAATGACCCAAACCTGGGAGTCAGGGTGATGTGAGGAATATATACTTTTTATCTTTACACACTCACCTGGGGAACATGTGACCGGTTTCTTTCACCTCATTACATGGAATGTGATGCTTTACATCTGGTTTGTTTATCCAGGTCTGGATGTTGACAATCTCCTTCCTGTCATCGTCCGACATGGAGGAGCTGTCGATCTCATCTGGGGGGGTATAGGGGGGGGTGTTGTTATAACAAGACATCTTGTTATTACGAGAAGATATGTTATAACAAGATGATATCTTGTTATAACATGAAATTATCTTAACATAACTAACTTTTCACGTTATACGTCATACTGATCCATTTCTCTGTTTTCTAGCGTGGCACCAAAAGGCTTCCGTACAGCTTACCTGTATCGTACTCTTCCTCATCACCAATACTGAAAACGGGCTTCACTCCTCGGTACGGTTTGCCGACGCGGTCGCTGCTGCTCACATGTCTAGATATGGAAAACAAAAACACAAAAGGGCAAATTGGAGTGTCACATCAGCGCTGAGTGAAGGATGTGAAGCTCCAGAAATGAAAAGGTGGCACACAAATAGTGATGGCATGAAGACCTCCTCTGCCAGTTATGCTGTTAAATATAAAGAAAGAGGTTAAATGAGACATTTATACTCCAGAGGAGCGAGATTAGTCCGTGTATGATATTCAGGGATATTTGCAGAATACCATATGTTTGTTTTTAGTGGTAACAGTGTATTCTGCACAGCCCTGGCTATCATCCAGAAGAACAACTATGGAATGGAAAGACAGACTTGTTAAGTGCATCTCCAAGCAAAACAGCAGTGAAGCTAAAAGGTTCCTCGAAAAACACCTCAGATATTCAGACGACGGACTCGGTGAGTTGTGGATGTCGAGATGACTCGATGCGTCCTGAAAGAGCCCAGCGGCTTCATGTTGTTAGTGAAAGCATGAGGACGGATCTCAAACGTCTCGTAGCTGTAGTGCTGTTACATGAGTGAGAGATGCTGATATTCTGAGCATGCGTTAATGTGACACAGGCTAACGGTCTCCCACAATCCCGCTGCACTGGACGGGTCTACAGCCAGTGGACATGCTGGTGACGAAAACAGCTCGATGGCTCTTACCGATCTGGAACCACCTTCTCTGGCCACGGCAGATTGAACGACATTCTAGCGTGGAATAAGGCACAAGGTAGCTTCAATTAAAATACAAAGTCAAACTAAATGTCAGTTTACAGTTGTCTGATTTAATAGTCGCTGTTTATTTCTGCTGCATTTTCTACAGGATACACCTGGTAACATGTTCAGTCAGGTGTAAATATGTTTTAAACCCAAATGACCAGAAGTATTCAGACTCTTTACTACAGTAAAAGTACTAATACTAGACTGTGAAAATACTCCACTACAAGTAAAACCAGTCTAAGGGGGGGGGTCTCACCCATCCACGGGGGCGGTGGAGGGTTCTCACTCGTCTACGGGGGCGGTGGAGGGTTCTCACCTGTCTACGGGGGTGGCGGTATTCTCGATGAAGCTGATCATCTTCTCCTTTACGTTCACTGACTTGGACTTCAGAGCGAACGTCATTTTGTTGACCAAAGACTTGACGCCTTTGCCGTCTCCAGGACTACTCAGTGAGTCTCCCTGCATCAGGAGAGAAACAGAAACGTGGAGCTGAAGTAAAACTAGCAACATGAAGCTACAGTGACCTTCTAATTTGTACAGATGTTTCTGGCCTCTTACATCCGCGGAGTTGAGGCTGCTGTGAGATCCAGATGTGCTGACGATCCAGTGGAGGTACGAAGAGTCCAGACCCTCGATGTTCATGTCCACCAGATGCTTTTGAAGGGCTGAAATCACACAAATCTCTCTGAGTTTTCACTTCTCACTAGTCTGCTGGGCACTAATAAAGCATACATAAGATTATAGAGCTTCTATATTTGAAGAAGTTACATCAACTGGTTGCAATAATGTAAACACACAAAAGGCAAAAGGTGACTTTTATTCATGCCGAACTTGCAGAAATAAACACTTTTTACCAAAACGTTTTATATATTAAATTCTCAGTAACAAGTATTTAAAAAATAAATACTGCCTGTTACATAAATACACTCGTTTGTTAATTTCTTAGAAACTGGCCAATCAAAACAATGATTCTACATAACATATGACAGAATAATACTTTGACTTTGCAGGATTACGGTCCATCAGGAGTGATTTCTAGCTTCCTTTGTAGAAAAAAAAAAAACCCGTTTTAAAATACATTTGTGGAAGTTGTGACTCGATACAGAATCTTAGAAGAGAAGAATCTTCATTCTTACGTGAATCTATTGTTTCCCACCTCTACCTCTCGACCATGCAAACATGTGTCATAGAGCCAGCTGAGGTTGATAGGAGTTGGACATGAAGCAAAGAAAACAATGTATATTTCTGTCTGTGAGTTTAATGCATTTAGCCCGAGTGTCCCAGTATTCTCATCTACGTACCCATGAATCCTCCTTTAGCGATGCTGACATATTCTTTGTTTTTCTGGAACAGAAAAGTAAAGATGTTAGCGAAGAACACAAGCTGACCTTTGACCTTACGAGGAAGCAGATCACACCAACATTATTCTTCTCTCCAGCTACCTTCTCTGTTCGAGTCTCTCACCTGGAGGAAATGAGCCAGCACCATGTTCATGTACATGTCCTCCTCCTCCCTCCCACTGCCCATGAAGCACAGGTGCTCCCCGCTGGCGACGGAGCCGGACTCCAACGACTGCTTCTGAGCCTCCAGGAGGGACTTCACAGAGAGAGCGAACTCAGAGGGGTTCTGGAGCATCTGAGAGAAGGAAAAGAAAGACCGCATGTTTTACTACGTAAAGGTTCATGTTCTTCACACAGAATCAGGAGCGTCTCCTCTCACCAGGTCAGAGTCCAGGTGGAAGGCCGTGGACAGGTGACCAGCGTTGTACTGCTCTGCAGGCCGACAATCCACCACAAAGAAACGCACCCCGTCCTGAAAGTCAAATCCATCGTTAGGAACGTCAAGAGAACCGTTTTTGTACAGTACTGCAGAGACCAGAGATTCTTCTGGACCTGACAGGAGCGGCATCAAAGTCTGTGTATAAGAAATGGGCGTAGTCGTCGTGATGTCACTCGTTGGTTTGTGGATGTTTTGAAGCAAAGAGTTTGACTTTTTGACTGTCGCCATCTTGTTTTTTCTCAACCAGTGAACAGGAAGTGAGCATATCTGGACTGAGGAGGAGTGA